CTGTGGTGAGAAACAAAACACGACACACATAAAAATGAACTGACTCTGAAATTACTACATTACAGTTTTCAGATATTATGTCAACTAATGCAAAAAAAAAAAAATCAATGATATAATTATGTTGTTATTCCTGGACCACTGAATTTTGTGAATGGAAGAAAGAAATGAAACAGCTATACCTGTTATGTTTATTTTAATCCTGATCAGCAGAATTTAGAGTTGAATTGAGAGGATTGCTTTCATTACACTGGGTTTTATGCCATAAGGATTGGTCTGTCTTCACAGACAGGGTAGGCATCTGTCGAGATCAACAGAGAACGGACTCTGCAGCTTTGGTGACGATCACCAGGATCTTCTTAATAATTATACCCGTAAACTGAACGATTCAGCTGTGAAGTGAACCCATAACCTTCAGAGCATGAGGCAAACAGATTGACCACTTTGCCACAGTGACTAGCAGAGTATTAGCAGCATTGGCAGAGTATTAAAACAAGCTAGACAGTCAAATTGTTTCGTTTACTGAAAAGATGTTTCAATTTTTACTTCACACACTAGTAAAGTTTCTTAATGAATTTTATAAATGGCATTTTTGAATTATTGCACACAGTTTACCTCATGTTTGAAATGTATTCCTGTTTCTATCACACCTTTTTTGTCTTCACTTCTTTTATTGTCTTCCTCTCTCTTTCTTTCTCTCTGTCTCTGTCTATGTATCTCTTTTTAGTCTGTTATTCGTTGTGTCTGTCTTTTCTATCTGTGTCTGCATCTTTCTGTTTCTTTTGTTTTCTTTGTAATTGTTATTACCTGTCTGTCTTCATTGTCTGATCTTGCTTGTCTGATATTTAAAATTCTGATTTTTTAATTTTTTTTGTAAATTTGTATCTTTGCTTTGTGCCTTTCAGTCTCTGTCTCTCTCTTTCACTCTCTTCCTGTTGGTCCAGCTATCTACCTAATCTCCCTTTCTCACCTCTCTGCCTCTCACTGTTTTCCTAATATGCACTCCAGACAATGACAACTTAAAACAGTTTTTCCTAACTTTACTGTGATTTGTTGGCATTCGTTTGGTGTCAGTTTGAACCATTGTTTGCAAACGGTTCGTCCCATTCCAGGGGCATGTTCTAGCACAACTAGAGATTAAATGCAGCTTACCTGTTGTCAGTAACAAATGAGCATGGCATATGATTAGAAAGATCGACAAAGTTCTTGCTGATGTTGTTCCCTTGTTGAACTTCCTTGTCACACATTCATGCACTTTGATGTTCTAGTATGTTACTTGTTGCACTCCTGTTCTTGATGTCACTTTATAAACTTGCTAAGAAAAGGGCAGAATGTGAACAGGAGGAGAATGCAAAAACATACTTTAAGAAAAAAAAGGTCTTCCCTTCTTATTATAAGTGAACAAAATCTGGCCAGAGATGACTACCACTTACTTTTACTGGCATAGGCATGTCACTATTCTATGCCTCAGGACAGGACATAACAAACTTAACAAGCATATGCACAGGTTTTGTCTAAGTAGGAGTTCCAGGGAAATTTGACTAAAAAGCTTAACAAAATGGGGAAGCAGAAAAACGTGCACAAAACAACACCAATAAAGTTTCAGCCGGGCATCCTTTTTCAAACATAAGTGAACTACACAAATGTAACAACGAGGAGAGGAGAGTATGTATATCTCTTGTATTAGCTCGACTGCATTCACCCCCATTTTTTCACCATTTTTATGATTTTCTCTAAGTAACTCACCATTGTGCCTGTGTAGGCTGTGTGTGCAAACTACAGAATATGTCCTGCAAGATTGTCCCTTGTACAGCCCTTAAGAAGGGAATACTGGCCCAGTCAGTCAACACTGTACTCAGAGTTGTATGGAACTAAAAGGGAACTCTTAAAAAAAATCAAGTTTATAACAAGAACTTGTCAGTCGGTGAAAATAAAAAAAAAGCGATCAGAAGAAGATATCACTTTTGTTTGTGTGATTTCCCTATGTGAATTCTGAGACCCTATTTTGTGGGTGGGGGGGGGGGGGGGAGGGGCGGATTAAACTATGTGATCCTTAGCAGCATGTCATAAGAGGCAACTAATTAGGGATTTGCTGAAATTTAAAAAAGCAAGCCCTCTTAAGAGTGAGAGCAGAAGAAGATGTGCTTATTTGTATAAAATATTTCACAGCTTAGAATTGATAAATTCTTTTTAAGTATTATTGTCTGATGTGTGTATGCTTCACAGTCTGCATGATTTGCTGCCTCTTATGATTGTCTTGCATTTTGTCATCATACACCTTGTTTTTCTGGTAACACACACAGTTAAAATAGTTAGATACATGCAAAGAGAGATATGGGGAGCATTGGTAGTGCTTGCTTGCAAGCCAAAAGATTTGGCGCTTGAATCCTCATTTAAGGAGATTTTTTAATAATTGATTGCTGCTCCTAGGTCAGCTCGGATTAAAATAGGTACCCAGAAAGTGTCCTGGGAAGTGAAGTTGGCTGGCAGGATGATGACAACATACTACATCAAATGCTGATTATGCTATATAATAAGGGTCTAGCACCATATGTCTAATGTGTGACAGCAGGAAAAAAGAATCCCTTCAATTATTTTTTTCCCTGAGTGGGTTCCAGACCCCGTTTGGGGGTGGAGTAGAGGGAGAGAGGAATAGACACAGTGCCCCACTACCAAGCACATCATAAATGTTGACTGATGAGGAGTTTGGTGAAATTAGATCAGAAGGTGCGTCTGTCACAACCTAGCTCTAAACCAAACACAGTGTGCCAGCCACTCTTCTGAGGGTGAACACATAAGAAGAATATTTTAACAGATACAAATATTAAGCCTCTTATGCTACTCAAATACTGAAACCAATTGTAAATTTATGAGTTGTTTGGGTTAGGCATGTATGTGAAGTTTGGAAGCTCACAATTTAAGTCCTGCATGAGCATATCGTACATTATGTCCACATTTTTGTCTCGCCATGTTTATTTTCAGTTTTATTTTGTGTTTATTTACCATTGTTTGTTACCTGACATTCTGGGATAAAATTCTGGGATAAAATGCAGTTTTACATTGTTATCTTGATGTTATTCTCCTATTAATTAGCGTCAAGCGTTTTAATGAAGTCAGTAAACTAATAGAGGGATTTGTAAGGACACAGAGACAAATGAAATGTTGACACATTGGTCTGGCTGGCCCTCTGTTGCATTACACTAAAAAAAATTTGTTCAAACTCCACTCTGGAGGTTGGCTACAATGCATCCACTGCTGTAGGCATATTAGATGGTGAAGCTGCATTCTCTCCCACAGTGCAACTCCAGTACCACTTCTTTTTTCTTCTTCGATCATTTTATATCAGGAGGCTGGTAGCCTTTGAGAAAGCTATCGTGCAGTCCATATCCTCTCATGTACCATACAGCTTTGTATTCGTTGTGGTTGGAACAGGTCAGATTGCATCTCTTGTCAGCATACAATTGACAGTGTTGGAGCACATGCTCAGCATTTTCCGTTGCTATGCTGCAAAAGAGGGTTGGCTAGTGAAGACAATAAAACAAAGAAAATTGAAATATTTTGGTCACTTGAAACGTCATGGAAGTCTAGAGAGAACAATAATGGAGGGGTATATGCCTGGGAAGAGAGGAAGAGGAAGGCCAAGGAGAAGATGGGTGCAGGATGTGGCAGATGATCTCCAGATGGGTGTATCAGACGCAGGACATCTTGCTCAGGATAGGAAGGTTTTCCGGAGGGTTGTTATGGCAGCGAGGTTCCGCGAGGGACAGGCTACTGAATGAATGAATGAATGAATGCTGCAAACATACATCTTCGTGTTTCCTACACCACTCACTGAAAGCCATGAGAACTCCTTCTCTCTAAACCACTCACCACAGGTATCAAACCTTGGTAAATATTTAGGATTGCATTGTGAAACTATTTCACTAAGCTCTAATCCATAGCGCCACACATTGTGTTTGATATACTACTTTATTGGCACACTGGATTCTGTCCTGCATACCACCACAGGGAACAGTAACCTAGCTTACTGGCATATTTGATTATTTCCTAGCCTGGAGAATGGGAATCAGATACTTGTGCGAAACATAGTCAGCTTTATAATATAGGTGACAGTGTGATGATTCAGGATTATAGCAGCTAGACAGCATAAAGGTCTAGGGTTCAAATCCACGTGGAGGCAGCTATTTCTTCTTCAGAATTGACTTTTGCGGGTTACAGGGTTCAGGGTTATAAAGCAGTCAGCATGACCGAATTACCCATTGATTGCCCTTTGGTCTATGCAGATATTGATCTAGCACTATACTCCTGATGTGCCAAAGGCATGATGAGTCCTTTTCTGTTTGTTGATTTGTCACTGCCTCTGGGTAGGTAGTATATCTAATGCCTAGACTTCTCAGGTAGTAGAGCACACATAAGGAAGTCTGCAGTGTAACTTGTGCATATTGTTAAGCTGTCAGCAGTTGGAATTAATGAAGAGAGATCTGAAATAATATTCCAGACTGGGACAAGTATTCATGTGTATAGGTAATAATGTCTCTTTTGGTTGGGCTTCACCTTGTTAGACATTTTTCATAACATAATGCATCACCATATCAATTAAGTAAACATTCAAGCTGTATAAGCAGACATATCATTTTCTACTTCAATGATGATAGCTACCTTCTAGTCACAATGTGTATCTTATAATTGGCCAGTCTGTGGTAACTGAAATCAAGACTTTATGTGACTGTGTGGTAGAGGTTTTATATGTGATATGTCCTAGGCTAATTTGTTTGTTCTGTTTAAAAAAAAAAAAAAAACTTTTTTAGTAATTAAGTCATATTTATCATTTTTAAATAAAATTGTCATTAGTATTCCTTGTTTTTAAAAGAAATAATAAATAACTTATAAATTCTTTAACTTGTTTTTAGAAAAATATTTTAATTTACATTATTTTTACCAAGGTTGTTAAAAAAATTAATTAATTTTGAAAAAAAGTTAACAGTTGTGAAATCATTCCACAGAGGTACTTCAGAAGCTATAACAAACAATGGGGATAATCCTTTTGGCGACACAGAGAGGTATGATGACGATGAGGAAGAAGAAGCCGAGGAACCGCCCAATGATGGCTGGACTGTGAGAGCATTGTATGATTATGACAGGGCGGAAGAGGATGAGCTGGAGTTCAAAGCAGGCAAGTGGTGTTTTGTCTTCTTCTTCTTTTCCGCCACCTTCTCTTTGTTTTTTTTTCCCTTCTCATTCTCTTTCTCCATCTTCTCCATTCCCACCTTCTCTCCTTCTTCTGAGTTTGCCTGTAAATGGACATCAAAGCAATATTACCCTGTTGTAAATTTTAACAACGCAGATACAAACAATAGATTGTACATTTATTGCCTGGCATATTTTGAGGTATCTCATCAGGTGCATACTGCAGTAACAATTGATTAAAATGAAGCAAATAAATTAATCCTTTGAACTTTGGACTGAAAGACAAAATCTACTACATACACAAATTGGTCTGCTTTTTCGCCAGGGTAAACACAAGGTGAATAGCATGTCCCTTTGTCTGCATAATTCTGGACTAAACCGGTTTATAGTGACCGCTTCTACAAATTTAAGTAAGCAACGATTGACTGAAGTGTAAATAATTTGAAATGCATCTTCCTTGTTTACAGTGTGCCTAGGTGAAACAGACAATTTTTGTATGAAGTCGATTTTGTGTTTTTAGAGAAAATACGCTCTTTCGTTCCCTCGCACTACTGCAGGTTCCAAACAGTATATCCATGTGATTCCCTGCAGTGTTGACAAACTGATGCTTGGTATCCTCTCATGCCACATTTGTCCGTTTTAAACCTCCCGCAGTACCAACTAAAAATAACACACAATAATTCCTCTGGTAACTTTATTTTCTGCTATCCACTTCAGAGCTGCAGTGATTGCCTTTATCTCCATCCTCATGCTAAAAGTTGTTGATAAAAAAGGTCGACTTTGTTCCTTCACGATCTTTCCCTTTGTTCTAGATGAACATCCTTAGCCAGATCTGATATCCTGATGAAAAGAACCATCAGTGTACACTGTTGCATCCCCTAGCTTGGTGTTTTCATCTGTTGTTCTACTTCTAATTCTGCCACCTGTTACACGACTCTCTTCATCATTCCCTTCCCAATGTGATAATGACCTGATGGAAACTGCTGCTGCAGGTGTTCATGTCGACCCATTCCTGTCCCCTGTGTGTGTGCTCGACTGAGCCCTCTGTCCCGATGGTATCTTCAGCTAGTGCCATCCTCAACTTTCCTTTTTTCAACTGGTCTCCTCCTAGATCTTAATGCAATGCATGCCTTTCTTTCATCATTGGTAGCTTGCATATTGGCCTTGGCTTGTGCCAGTGACAGTCTAGACTTTACCGATGTTAGCCCAAGCCCTTTACCTCATACATAACTCTATTTAGTATATCTGTTGTGCAACCCAAGACAATTCTCATGCCTTCATTTTGAATCCATTCAAGCTTTGCACACTCTGGAGTAGATAGGGTTAGAATTCATGGGTTGTCATCAGTTACTGAAAGGACCAAATATTGGAACAATAAGACTCATAGTTCTGGTTGTTCCTCCACTTCTGGACTCTAGTCTTGTTCCCAAACTTGAGTTTTGCATGCGCATCCATTTTACATATTTGGCTCATCTGTATGCAGATTATTGGTTCCTTGCATGTCAGGCTGATTCACTATGACTTTGAAGAAACACACCTAAATAGTCAACCTGTACGACAGGGAAGCAGTGAGTCTCAGTGAGTCTGTTCTTTTTCCTCCCAACAATGGGGCCTGAGAATTCACACTGGGAAAAACAGAGTCCAATACATAACCACAGGGCAGGGTGCCATAGGTGTTAACCACTGGACAGCAAAGCACAGAGGTGTCATCATGTCACAGGTCCTTTGCAGAACCTTGCTCTCAACACGGTCTGCCTGAAAGAAACTCTGTCTCTCGCCAGCTCTCCTGCCTCATGTACAAGGGCCGGCATTTAAGTAATGAGACTAATTCCATAAAAATTAAAATAATCAACAGTTGAAGATATAACATGTATCTGATTCAAAGTAAGCCCCTTGTGCATTGATACAGCAAGTGGCATGATCTAACAAACACTGGAATGACCTCTGTAGTTCTTCTGTTGTTATGGCCCTTAAATTCGATGTTATGACCCTTTGGATGTCATCAATATCATCAAAGAAGCGTCCTGTCAATGGTAGCTTTAATTTCGGGAATAGAAAATAATCACAGGGAGACAAATCTGAGGAGTAGGGTGGATGGTGGAGAACACACACTTGTTTTTGGGCCCAAAACTCTTGTTTTGATGATGTCTCTTGGGTTTTCAACCCGCTGATGTTTTTAGTCATCAGACAACCAATGTGGTTCAAACCAGCAAGCAACTTTTGTCTTGTCAAAATTTTGCACTAAAATGTTACAAATAGTCTCTCTATAAACACCAGATTCATCTGCAATCATCCTCACAGTAAAACGATGATCTTCTTGTATCCATTCTCTGACTTTTGCTTTAAGTTTATCATTACAAACAGAACTTAGGGATCCAGGTCTCGGTGCATTAGTAATCATTTCCATACCACTTTTGAATCGTGAATACCACCTGACAGTTTGTGCACGAGATATAAACAATTATCCCCATAAACTTGTTGCATCAATTCAACTGTTTCAATGGCTCTTTTTCTGAGTTTTAAAAAGAATTTAATGTTAGTTTTTGCTCCATGCTGATTACATCACAATGCACTATACTAGGTCAACAAAATGTTGGTTTGTTTGTTGTCTGCTTATCGAGCGATGATGAAAAGTTGCCAGATCATAGATGAATGTTGCCTCTTTAGATTCCATGCTTTGCTTCATAGATGGCATTTTTAACTTGCCAAATAAAATCAGTCTCATTACTTAATTGTCGGACCTTGTACTTTCATATTCAAGGAGTCACATATATTCTGTGCCCATCTTCATGCTGGTTGGCCCCTGACTCTCTTTCCTGGTACCATACCTTCTGCTGTTATTTTTTTGCAGCATAAGGATGAAAACATGATTTAAATGAGACCTTGGGTAGGAAAGTGCACGAGGTGGGAAAGCTGGTGAGAATTTAAGTTTCTTTCAGGCAGGCTGTGATGAGAGTGATGTTCAGCAAAAGACCTGCAATGTGATGATCTATACCAGTGATTCCCAAACTGTGCACAGCGGAGCCCCAGGGAGCCGCGACCTCTTCACAGGGGCGCCGCAAAATATTCAAAGATACATTTTTTTTTTTTTTTTAAATCTCTCACATATGAATAGTCATACTTTTACTTAGGTTAGTGCGGCGTGGACACATTTTAATTGAAGAAAGGTGCCGCAACTAAGAAAAGTTGGGGAGACACTGATCTGTACTACAACACACAACAGCTCTAAATCACAAAAAAACAGAAAAGGCAATTAGTAACTATGGAAATGATAAATCTGAGAAAGTCTGCAGGAATTACTTGAAGAGATAAAGTAACGAATGACAGAGATGGCTAACACAGACAACAAATACCTGCACAAGTTGAATCTGTCGACCTCAGTATGCAAATATCGCAGACATGTTATAAGTGGAAGCAATGCATTTATGTCTTCGGATAAACACAGAAGAAGAAGAAATTAGGAATGAAATCATAAAGTAAAAAGTCAGCAGAAAACTGACATTCTGGAGAAAACCCCCACTAAATTACATACAAATAAGTTACATAAAATGTCTTGCCCACTTAGAAGGCTTTGTAATGCTGTACCATACAAGGCATATTCTGGCATGTACCTGAAGCAGAGAGGGAGGTAGAGTTTAAGGTAGACCAAGGTTAAGATGGAAAGATAACATCAGATAGTTCTGCAGCAGTTCAGAGTATCTTTGGCTGAGGCAGTTAGAAGAGCAAGCGCCAGAACATTATGTCTACTTTGACACCTGAAGCTGAATACAAAAAATTAACTCTTTGAGTCCCAAGGAACGCATCATGTGTTCATAGGTTCCTACCTAGAAGCCCAATGAACGCATGATGCGCCGATTTTATTACTTTCTTTACTACCCCCTGGGCATGTGATGCTAAACCCCCTGGGACTCAAAGAGTTAAGTGAAAATGTAGAAGATCAGTAGTTTTTTTTTTTCAGTTCCTTGTACCAATAGTTTTCAGCTAACATCTGTAGAGCCTGGTTATTTTCAAACCTCTGCCACAGTAGCTGACAGTGATACTTGCCCATACATAATGACTTATTATAATTTATAAATATTCTTATTCTTATACTCCATGCTGTGTGGTGTTGGTAGTCATGTCTGTTGAAATTTATTCTGTCTTGTATACTTTGAATCATTTCTGGCTCAGATGATCTACAGTGCCATGATATATTAAACTGTCAAGCATCTTCTCCCTCGGTCTCCCTCTGCATCTTTTCCCCCTCCAACTTTGCCACCGTCACAGTATACTTCAGTTTTCTCCTCATGACATGACCAAAGAATGTACTAGACTGTCTCCTGCTGAAGTGGGCAGTGTCTTTCAAGACATCCTAACTACTTCATTATAAATAATAAAATTGCAATTTTAAAAAATCTACATGTTTAAAACAAAAAAATGATGTCACGGATACCTCATTTTGCTGCCTGGAAAGTTAGTGTGACCCCGAGGGTCTACCACCAAATGGGAAAGACTAGTTCAGAAAACACACTGTGATCTTCATAACCACTGTTGTCATTGATTTCTTACATATTTCCAGGTGATGTTTTCGTACAACTGACCACTGAGGATGAGATGGGGTGGTGCAAGGGAAGAAAAGATGGCAGAGTAGGATTCTACCCCAAAAACTATGTTGCCAGGATATGAGAGTTTTCAAATTGGGCCATGTTGGAAGCTGCTTGAAGACAAGAAGACATGCTGGATCATCTTGTATGGAGCTGTATTGATGAATCCAGACACTACAAATTTTTCCTGTACCTCCTCCTCATATTACTTATGTCGGGAGGATATTTAATAGGTGTCCAAATAAAGATCAATTTGTTGTTTTGTTTTTTGGCTTTCAGCTCCACCCCAGCTCTGTTCCTGTTCACACTGTGTTGTTTTCTATCGTTTGTTTGTTGTAAATTTGTGTGTACATGTTCCTTCACGTTTTTTGTGTTTTGTTGCTGTTTTAGTAGTAAATGTTGGAGTTACATTTCATTGTATCTCAGCATTTATCAGAAAACAGTGTTCCCATTTTTGTTGATTTTTACATCAGGGCTCTTAAAATGTGCATTGAGTAATGGTTGTGTTTGTTTGTAATAAAGTGTTTGATATTTTCCATATATAGATTTATTCATCATAACTGTGTACCTATTTTTTGTTGTTGTCCGAAGGGAACAATTTTTACAAACCATATTGTTGCCTAATTTTTGGCATTGATCCTATGTGGCCCATTGCCAGGCAGTATCATTCCTGTATTTTGTATATTCAGTGTACCTTTAATCCACTTGTGTATCAGTAAGTTTTATTTCAGTTCTTGATTATTGGACATTGTATATTGTTCTTTGTTCTTCTCTATTGGGCAGCTGCATGATGTAGATGAATGCATGTTATGGATAAATGTATGGTTTAGTGGTATGTACTTAAAGTGAAATGGTTTAGAACAGTGGTTCCCCTTTAGCGGAAACCTGTGGATCCCTCTTAATTGTAAAAGTCTGTCACAGACCCCGTACTGTTTAAAAGTCATACTGAAGAATTGTTTATAATTTACTAGATTTAATTGCCCGGCTTTGCTTGGCATAATGAAAGAAAGTCTTGTTTTCCCATCCTCCACCTCATCTTTTTCACCACCACTGGCCTGTATGTGGGCCTAATGGAAATTGGGGGTGTAAGTAAAACCCTATATTTAATATCTCATCTTCTACTTCATTTTTGTCTGCACCGCTGCTATATCTTTTTAGTCATTAACCCTAAGTGTACCTGAGGCATCCCTTGTATTACTAACATCAGTATTTAACCATTTGGGAGTCAGAGACAAATGTTTTGTCTCAGATACATTTAGATCTGTGGTTTCAAGGAAGGTAACAGAAAAATATTTTTTTTTTTTAAATTTGCCTTTTTAAGGGAAGTAATAGGAAAACAAAATATTCAGTTGGATTTAACTCCAGTGAAAGTTTACTTTGACTGACTTGCAGTAAATAAAGAAATGCACGATAACCTGGGTGATGCAGTTTTGGTGAAAATGTGTCACCTTCAGTGAGTTGTCAACGCAGAATGTTTCACAGTGTTGAGTTATTCTGTGAGTTTTTGTTTGAGTGAGATATCTGGGTTTATATCCTTAGTAAATATGTGATGAATTTGTGTGCGTGTGTTTTTTGTTTGTTGCTTTGCTGGATAACAAAAATTACCTAACCGTTTATTGAGTCTCACTAGCCAGACAGCTTTAAATCCACAGTCTTGCGACCACCCTGTCCTTATTCGCCAGAGTGGTAAATACAAGCATCAAAGACAAGTGTTGTACTGTGTTTATTGAGTTGTTGGTTGGCGTCTTTTGTCTTTCCAAACGATAGTATTACATGGTGCAGCAGGGAGGCAAGTGGATAGTTGCCAGTGATGATGGCGAGTGTCACTTGTCCAGTCAGCTCACTCAAAGAAAAGTCTTCCATAGCAATCACATGGGATTTGAGAACCAATATTGCCATTGTTCATTGATGTGTTTCTTCTCATATTGCTGTGTTAAATTAGGTGAAATAAATAAGACACACAATTTTATAGTTAATAATTAAAGATTAAAGTCAAGAGGATCGGCTTCATTGCACCGGGTTTTATCCTATATGGTTTGGTCTCTCTACGCAGAATGACTAGCCGCCTGCTGAGAGCGCCACACAGAGAGCGAACTCCATAGCTCTGTAAAAATTGCACTTGTGAACTGAAGGGCGCAGCCGAGGAATGAACCCATGACCCTCAGAGCACGAGGCAAATGGCTTGACATAAAAAAGTCCCTTGGCAGGATCCTTACCAGTGCTATGAAGTTCATGCACAGTGCTGAGATTCTTCAGACTCAAACTTGAGGTTGATCCGTTGTTTAAACAGAAACAGAATTCTGAGTATATCCCAATTTAGGAGCTGGGGTAGCCCAGTGACTAGCATGCTTGTCTTCCAGCACAGTAGCTGTGTGTTCATTTCCCACCTCAAGAAGGTCTTTTGAACACTTTCTCCATGAAAGCATCAAAACTGACAATTATGGTTGGGTCCACTCTCCCACAAACATCCCCTTTCCTGCTTGCCTGTAGTGACCTTTTTACACAATGCATAGTTACTGCTATTTACTTTTTTCACAGCTGCCCACAAAGGTTTAGGAGTTCAAGATGTGAATACATTAACTAGAACATTTCCTTTAAACCTAATGGTTCTATTAACGTCAAATTTTTCTTCAGACCTCATTGGCAGAGGTCATGGGGTCACAGTACGTGCCATCCGATACATAAGTTTATTAAGGTCTCAGGGAATGTATTTCATTAAATGTTAGCTGAAAGTGTACAACCAAGTCAAGAGATAGAGAGTGTTGGAGATCCATTGCAGACAACCTTCATTTTGGAGATGGCACCTGATTAATTGATCATTAACACACAGTGATGGAGCCAAATCATTAACTATTCAGCTGTTTGCCTGGTCATGTCGTTACCCACACAGTGATGGAGCTCAGTCATTATTTGTTCAATTTTTTCTTAGCCCTATCTTGTTTAGCCTTGTTTTAACCCAGAAGTCATGTGCCTAACTTCGTCATTACCCATTCAGCACTTTGCCTAGTCCTATCTTTTCCCATTCAGCAATTTTCCTGGTCTCATTATTATTACTCATTCAGCACTTTGCCTAGTCCTATCTTTTCCCATTCAGCAATTTTCCTGGTCCCATTATTACTCATTCAGCACTTTGCCTAGTCCTATCTTTTCCCATTCAGCAATTTTCCTGGTCCCATGATTACCCATTCAGCACTTTGCCTAGTCCTATCTTTTCCCATTCAGCAATTTTCCTGGTCCCATTATTACCCATTCAGCACTTTGCCTAGTCCTATCTTTTCCCATTCAGCAATTTTCCTGGTCCCATGATTACCCATTCAGCACTTTGCCTAGTCCTATCTTTTTCCATTCAGCAATTTTCCTGGTCCCATGATTACCCATTCAGCACTTTGCCTAGTCCTATCTTTTTCCATTCAGCACTCTTTCTGGCTCCAGGTCATCACTATCATGTAGGCAGCCAGTGCAGTAACATCACTAGTGCAGATGCAGTGATATTTTTTATAACAACCTGTTGTTTATGCTATTTCAGGCTTCCATGTATATTCAGTATTATAAATCACACGTAACTATTATCATTGAATAGGTGTATATACAAAAAAAAAAGCTCATTGTATTAATCAGCACTCATAAGATGTCTAGTTGGTGATGTGTCTTAGTACACTTGTTCCTGCAGTGAGGCGCTGTCAGTATTTGGACGCGACTAGCTTGATTCCTGGCACAGTAACTATAGCTTTCAATTTTTAAGTTGTCTAAAATGTCCTTCCTTCTTCCTACGTCTTGTCCTGAGTGCTGATCCATATATGTCTATTTGTTTATTAACTGTTCCTGCGCCAGCATCAAGGGTTCTCCATTAGTTTATTTAATTTAATGTGGGAACTACTTACAGTGTTTATGTCTCCATATGTTTTATTGATCAAATGTACCAGCAACATAAGATTGTACTGCCACCATGTGGATCAGGAAGCCTACAACATTATAAATTTATAGCTGTATCAGCCAGGATATATGAGCTGTGGTAATATTGTGGCTAGGTGCTATCATGCTGACTCGAAGATCTTGGGTTGAGACAGCATATATCCTACCCTGTCTGGACTTTTGGTTACTTTGTAACCCTCAGGAGCCTCAATACGACATTGGGGTTGAATGGGGTTTTTGCTGGGAATTTTCATCTGAATAGTGGCTGTTTGGGTCACCAGGTGTTAATCGCTCAGTATGCAGTCCTAGAGGGGTTCAACTTCACGTACTCATCCAGGCCGATATTTTCACTCAAAAATTTACCACGGTTCCCAGGTCAGCCTAGCCTGAAGTAAAAGCAGCAGGTAGGATGCTGACATCACCTTTCGAGTGCAGATTTGACTGTAAAAACATTAATCTAGCCTTGAATGCCTTATGCTCCACTAGTGTGTTTGTGTGTTTATATATATATATATATATATATATATATATATATATATATATATATATATATATATATATATATATATATATATAAAACCAAGTTCAAGGTGTCTCCTTCGTGCCAAAGAACTGCATGGCTGTTGGGTGAACAGTCGTTAACGAAGGCAGTCAGGTCGTTGTTGGGGCGAGGCTTGCTGGTGTATGTAATGTCCTAAATCCCTGCCCCAGCTAATAGTAGGGTACTGCTGGGGTAACAGTTTATTAACCCTCACATAATGCTTCAGGTCCAAATGACGTCTAGGCACTGCCACTATTTTGAGCCGAGGCATACATTTTTGTTTCTGCCAGATTGTGGCCGCTGCTTTTTTGCTCCATTTGTAGACTGGTAGTATATAGTTTTTTTGCCCAGCTTCTGAGTTAAGTGCATGGCGGGACACTGTGAGCTGCGGATTTCATTTGGAATGTTTTTCGACTGACTAACGTGGTGGTGTGATTTGTAGATTCAGAAAATGGCACGATGCCGGTTGTCGCAATATTGGTGGGGCCATTGTTTGATTAAAATTGATCGCGTGTGCATCTGCTGATCTTTTAATGACTTCTGCTACCTTCAACGATGAACTGCATTTCTAACGTCTGACTGTTTGTGTTAGCACTTCGGGTGGCTACCATATGCTTATAATGCGAGTG